AAAGAGTGTTCCAAATCGCCATCCCGTTAATTATTACAAATTACATCCGTTGCATGCCACATAATATTTATGATTCATCGATCTCTGATGATACGAAAAGTCGTCGTTATTCCGTATCGTAATGCTGATTGTTGATGACAAGAAAATTGCGCGATTTCGAATGAGCCGTGACGATAGTTACTTTACAAGCCATCGGACGTGACATTCGTCCGTGCTGATAAGTGGATGGGTGGGCTCTGACCAAATAATCGTGTGACGGCTCGATGAAAGCTTCGTATTAATTATTGTCGGAATATCATGCCGGATGTTTAGGCATTTAGGATCTTGATTGCGAATGGGCGCAGATAAATTCTTCTGTGCAAATTCCGAGAACAGCATTAACACACATATGCTCCAGACTCGTTCATCTGCCAAACGCGTTTTAATCTTTCGCGTTTTATTATATACATGTGCGTGTATGTCTTTAAAATAATAAAAATTAATAATTACTATACAATAATGTCTATATAAAATTAATAATCTTTTATCTCTAAAATTTATAATTAGCAAAAAGATAGATTTATATTTTTATTTTGTATATTTTATTCGGCACTTCCACAAATATAATGTTATTTGTTGCAACAAACGATGTATGTATTCTATACATCTTGCAACATTTGAGAGAAGATATCTGATCAGGTTGTAACGAAAAATATTTTTTGGAATATTAACAAGAGAGAGACATGTACCATTAAATTTATTTTACTTACAGAAATCTTTTTTCATATATTGTTTATTGATATATATCTTATATAATAAACTTTTATAATATTAACTACACATAATTCTATTATTTTATTTATAGTTTATTTTTTCGCGATAAAAGAGATGCATTAGATATCTCTAAATAAATATATCCAAAACAAAGACTTCATTCACAAATTTATTCCATTTAAAATTGATAAATCCTTTTTTATATATTGTTTATTGATATATGAACGTATATCTTAATAGGCTTTTATAATATCAACTATACATAATTCATCATCATCCTTTATAATTTATTTTTTCGCGGTAAAGAAGATGCATTAGATATCTCCAAATAAATATATCTAGAACGTAGACTTCATTCACTATTTAATTCGATTTAAAATTGATATTTTTCTTCCCCGAGTGGAAAATATTTCGAGAGAAAGAAACTTCTCTCTTTCTCTTTCTCATTAGCATTTTAAATATTTCGAAAAAAAAGATGCGAACCTCGTTTCTCCGTTTTCTCATCGATGGCAAATTCCCGCGAGCGATCGGATTTCGCCTACCGACTTGTCAAAAATGTAACATGAAGTGCCATATTGCATAACTTTGCACGACGTGTTGTGTGTCTATTCCGCATTTTCATAATGCTTCGTGAGAGAAGTCAGCGAGAAGTCAATGCGATTCGAAAACGACTATAGCCATTATTCAAGGTGCGTGGCTTCTTAACATGTTGCTTTAACTCGCGTTACGTTGAAATTCTTCAGCAAACCTGCGCGACTTAAGTCTAGCGTCTAAGATATGCGAGCCGTGGAACACCACTAGCGAAGTTTTGCTGGATAAGTTTAAATTGTCTTACAGAGGGAAACTACGAGAAGATTTTTAACGACATCGTTCCTTTATATAGATGTAAAGTTTCTTAACTGTACGCATGTATCTCACAGAAGTTTCTTAACAAACTGCATATTTATTGAAGAGTTATCTCCTCTCGTAGGAAAATATATCTTTCTGCAATGGAGATTGTGCATTGATTTGAAAGTGATTCTCGAATATTCCAACGAATATTTTTACTATCAAGGTTCGCTTTCGAGAATAAATCCTTTAAGAATATCACGTTTATATAATATTAACTCTGTACGCAAGTCAGATGTTTTTTTTTTCTTAATAAAGTTATGTTCAATGTGACTAAAGATAATTGAAACCAGATTAAAAGGCAACACAATTATTTTTTAATGTTAAAATTAAAAGCAATGAATTTTTATAAGTTTCGGATGAGATTATGAAAGATAATTACTTATTTGTAATAATATCACGCTTAATATTATTATTAATTAATATTATTTATAACGACAAAATTACAAAATTATATATACTATACTATTTCTCTATAAACACCTCTTGTCGTGTCCGTAGTCTGGTGTCTTACATTAGCTCTATAGCCTAACCTAGGCCAATAAATTTTATCCAATTGCCAGACATATTCGGGTCGTTTACCTCGTTTGCGCCATCGTTTCTTTCACAGTGCGTCTAATTTTCATCTTTTTTTTTTCTTTTTTGTCTCCCCCCACCCTTTTCGTCGGACTCGCTTAGAACGCTGACGACCGCGTCACGGAAATAGAAAGTGATGTTCAGACCCGACGTCGTCGACAAGTTCGCCCGAATTGAAGTCAACTTTTAGACCTCTCCCGGGATCCATTTTCTCGGTGATGATGACGACGACGACCTAGTCAGGGAATTAGACAACTCTTATCGTCGATCCGAGCAGTCGAAATGATCGTAAATTCTGGAGATAGCTTTTACCACAGACTTATAAAGAGACTTTTGTTTCTACTATCACCGACCGCGCGTGTGTCGACATGTATTTATACACATGGTCGCACTTGTCAGAAATTTGTCATCCTCTATCCGTTCTCATTCAGTCACTATCCTTTTTGCTCTTTTCGCAGGTAAATGTTTGAGACTAATCGACGAATCAATCACGCAGCATCATCGAAATTTAAATTGTAATAGCAATTCATAATTAGTTTGCATCGAGCTCTGGTATTCATTGAAACGCGATAACTTCTAAACGTGATTGGCGCGAGACACTGTTCCCAATTTGATACTGGATATTTTAAGCGTCGAGATAAGAATCACGATATTATAGCGCCTGTTAAAGCGTGTAATTAACGAGGACGCAACGACAGCCGCTAATTACGAAGCTGGTACTATTACTGGTACGAAGCGTACTATTATTTCCGATGTTTTCGATCGTTTACTGAACAAGTCTTTAATAACCCAGTTCACGCTTTCGCGTGAGACGCAACGATCCCATACGATAATTCACGACAGACTGATCTTTAAATGAAATGTTTCCATGCGATCATTTATCGCCCGACATAAAATTTTGAAAGTTCGATTTCAAATGAACTTGGGCACATCCGGCCGAAGGACATCAAGACGCTTTCGCAAAGTGCCTTGCTATGATGATGAAAGTAACGTCGAACGCAAATCTTAAATCGAGAAGTTTAGTACACTCGATCGTTTAAAAGCGATTAAATATACATGCATTTCTACGGTCGACAAATTTACGAGGCTGCGCGAGACCAGTCAAATCGCTCATGAGTATGAATATGTATTGTGTACATATAACACAGGCATTTATTGATATAAAATTAAATAACATGTGTATTACATGCGTACATACTAAATTTTATCGCATAATCCAGTGATTTATATCTTTATATTCGCCAGTGATAACGAATATATTTTTAATCTAATTACTTAGACAACGTCTTTTTCCATTTCGATAAGTTATCTAAATAATCTAAGATTCGATAAATTAAAATATTGTACATTATTAATATATTATAGGGATTAATAAATCGACAATATATGTGTGTGTATAATTTTCATTAAATAATAATATAAATCACTGATAACATTTTATTATATTTGATGTTTATATCATAATTAATACGACATCAAAAATTTAACATTTTCCAGAAATTGTAAAAAGAAACCTTACATATACAGTTGTAATTTCATAGAAAAGATAAATCACAGAACGGGTAGGATTAAGATTGTTAAAAACGGAATTGACGAAGATTTGTGGTTGAATTTGTGTTACAGATCTTTGGAAGTTTTCCACCAACACGGAAAAACGCATTCGGAGCTTCTGAAAGCCCAACGCACCGCCGGTGGCTGCGGATTAGGAGGACCCCTCAGATATCCAAATTCCATTATCCTGTGGCTGCGCTGCAATAAGGTACGTTCGTGCACGTGGCCACGTTCTTTTGATACATTAGATTTCATATACGTCGGTGAGATCGATATCAGTGTACTCTATTGTCATAGACAGACCCTATGATGTATTACCAAAATAACGACGGAACTATTCTCTGTTTGAGTTTACCATCGTGTTTCCCAGAACATTACGTTTCACAGTCTCTGTCTCTGTCAGTATATTTATTGGTTTTCGATCCATTTTTCCCTTGAGCGGAACTCTCACGGTAATATGAACATTTGAGCAAAGTTCATGGTAGAAAATTTACCATTTTCTAAAACTTTGAAAAGTTTACATGTTGAAGCTCTTGTTTTTAAAAATATATGACGGAAATGTAATCTCAGATAAAACAAATTGTGGATAAATTATTCGACTTCAATCACTGATTTAAGCAGGAAAGACGTTTGATATATATCTTATATAATAAACTTTTATAATATTAACTACACATAATTCTATTATTTTATTTATAGTTTATTTTTTCGCGATAAAAGAGATGCATTAGATATCTCTAAATAAATATATCCAAAACAAAGACTTCATTCACAAATTTATTCCATTTAAAATTGATAAATCCTTTTTTATATATTGTTTATTGATATATGAACGTATATCTTAATAGGCTTTTATAATATCAACTATACATAATTCATCATCATCCTTTATAATTTATTTTTTCGCGGTAAAGAAGATGCATTAGATATCTCCAAATAAATATATCTAGAACGTAGACTTCATTCACTATTTAATTCGATTTAAAATTGATATTTTTCTTCCCCGAGTGGAAAATATTTCGAGAGAAAGAAACTTCTCTCTTTCTCTTTCTCATTAGCATTTTAAATATTTCGAAAAAAAAGATGCGAACCTCGTTTCTCCGTTTTCTCATCGATGGCAAATTCCCGCGAGCGATCGGATTTCGCCTACCGACTTGTCAAAAATGTAACATGAAGTGCCATATTGCATAACTTTGCACGACGTGTTGTGTGTCTATTCCGCATTTTCATAATGCTTCGTGAGAGAAGTCAGCGAGAAGTCAATGCGATTCGAAAACGACTATAGCCATTATTCAAGGTGCGTGGCTTCTTAACATGTTGCTTTAACTCGCGTTACGTTGAAATTCTTCAGCAAACCTGCGCGACTTAAGTCTAGCGTCTAAGATATGCGAGCCGTGGAACACCACTAGCGAAGTTTTGCTGGATAAGTTTAAATTGTCTTACAGAGGGAAACTACGAGAAGATTTTTAACGACATCGTTCCTTTATATAGATGTAAAGTTTCTTAACTGTACGCATGTATCTCACAGAAGTTTCTTAACAAACTGCATATTTATTGAAGAGTTATCTCCTCTCGTAGGAAAATATATCTTTCTGCAATGGAGATTGTGCATTGATTTGAAAGTGATTCTCGAATATTCCAACGAATATTTTTACTATCAAGGTTCGCTTTCGAGAATAAATCCTTTAAGAATATCACGTTTATATAATATTAACTCTGTACGCAAGTCAGATGTTTTTTTTTTCTTAATAAAGTTATGTTCAATGTGACTAAAGATAATTGAAACCAGATTAAAAGGCAACACAATTATTTTTTAATGTTAAAATTAAAAGCAATGAATTTTTATAAGTTTCGGATGAGATTATGAAAGATAATTACTTATTTGTAATAATATCACGCTTAATATTATTATTAATTAATATTATTTATAACGACAAAATTACAAAATTATATATACTATACTATTTCTCTATAAACACCTCTTGTCGTGTCCGTAGTCTGGTGTCTTACATTAGCTCTATAGCCTAACCTAGGCCAATAAATTTTATCCAATTGCCAGACATATTCGGGTCGTTTACCTCGTTTGCGCCATCGTTTCTTTCACAGTGCGTCTAATTTTCATCTTTTTTTTTTCTTTTTTGTCTCCCCCCACCCTTTTCGTCGGACTCGCTTAGAACGCTGACGACCGCGTCACGGAAATAGAAAGTGATGTTCAGACCCGACGTCGTCGACAAGTTCGCCCGAATTGAAGTCAACTTTTAGACCTCTCCCGGGATCCATTTTCTCGGTGATGATGACGACGACGACCTAGTCAGGGAATTAGACAACTCTTATCGTCGATCCGAGCAGTCGAAATGATCGTAAATTCTGGAGATAGCTTTTACCACAGACTTATAAAGAGACTTTTGTTTCTACTATCACCGACCGCGCGTGTGTCGACATGTATTTATACACATGGTCGCACTTGTCAGAAATTTGTCATCCTCTATCCGTTCTCATTCAGTCACTATCCTTTTTGCTCTTTTCGCAGGTAAATGTTTGAGACTAATCGACGAATCAATCACGCAGCATCATCGAAATTTAAATTGTAATAGCAATTCATAATTAGTTTGCATCGAGCTCTGGTATTCATTGAAACGCGATAACTTCTAAACGTGATTGGCGCGAGACACTGTTCCCAATTTGATACTGGATATTTTAAGCGTCGAGATAAGAATCACGATATTATAGCGCCTGTTAAAGCGTGTAATTAACGAGGACGCAACGACAGCCGCTAATTACGAAGCTGGTACTATTACTGGTACGAAGCGTACTATTATTTCCGATGTTTTCGATCGTTTACTGAACAAGTCTTTAATAACCCAGTTCACGCTTTCGCGTGAGACGCAACGATCCCATACGATAATTCACGACAGACTGATCTTTAAATGAAATGTTTCCATGCGATCATTTATCGCCCGACATAAAATTTTGAAAGTTCGATTTCAAATGAACTTGGGCACATCCGGCCGAAGGACATCAAGACGCTTTCGCAAAGTGCCTTGCTATGATGATGAAAGTAACGTCGAACGCAAATCTTAAATCGAGAAGTTTAGTACACTCGATCGTTTAAAAGCGATTAAATATACATGCATTTCTACGGTCGACAAATTTACGAGGCTGCGCGAGACCAGTCAAATCGCTCATGAGTATGAATATGTATTGTGTACATATAACACAGGCATTTATTGATATAAAATTAAATAACATGTGTATTACATGCGTACATACTAAATTTTATCGCATAATCCAGTGATTTATATCTTTATATTCGCCAGTGATAACGAATATATTTTTAATCTAATTACTTAGACAACGTCTTTTTCCATTTCGATAAGTTATCTAAATAATCTAAGATTCGATAAATTAAAATATTGTACATTATTAATATATTATAGGGATTAATAAATCGACAATATATGTGTGTGTATAATTTTCATTAAATAATAATATAAATCACTGATAACATTTTATTATATTTGATGTTTATATCATAATTAATACGACATCAAAAATTTAACATTTTCCAGAAATTGTAAAAAGAAACCTTACATATACAGTTGTAATTTCATAGAAAAGATAAATCACAGAACGGGTAGGATTAAGATTGTTAAAAACGGAATTGACGAAGATTTGTGGTTGAATTTGTGTTACAGATCTTTGGAAGTTTTCCACCAACACGGAAAAACGCATTCGGAGCTTCTGAAAGCCCAACGCACCGCCGGTGGCTGCGGATTAGGAGGACCCCTCAGATATCCAAATTCCATTATCCTGTGGCTGCGCTGCAATAAGGTACGTTCGTGCACGTGGCCACGTTCTTTTGATACATTAGATTTCATATACGTCGGTGAGATCGATATCAGTGTACTCTATTGTCATAGACAGACCCTATGATGTATTACCAAAATAACGACGGAACTATTCTCTGTTTGAGTTTACCATCGTGTTTCCCAGAACATTACGTTTCACAGTCTCTGTCTCTGTCAGTATATTTATTGGTTTTCGATCCATTTTTCCCTTGAGCGGAACTCTCACGGTAATATGAACATTTGAGCAAAGTTCATGGTAGAAAATTTACCATTTTCTAAAACTTTGAAAAGTTTACATGTTGAAGCTCTTGTTTTTAAAAATATATGACGGAAATGTAATCTCAGATAAAACAAATTGTGGATAAATTATTCGACTTCAATCACTGATTTAAGCAGAAAAGACGTTTACGTTACTGATTATATAGTACTATTGCGTTCTGTGTAGTTAAAGTTTATTGTGCTCGATATGTCTTGAGGTTCGTTTTATCGACGTTCTAGAAGCATCGTACTATTTGACGGCGCCATGTTCAGTGCGCCGTGATAAATATTCATAAATATCACTTTACGAGTGCGATAGAAAAATCCGAAGGACAAGAATTATCGCCGTTTACATGAGAACGTGCGAGAGTGTCGCGTAAATGTCGCGTTTTAACGTGTTGATCGTTAAAAATTATATTCGATGCAATGTATTTTTTTCTCGATTCATTACCGTGACGCGCTTGCAAGTTTTTCTTTGCATTAATTTACGAGAGCGAGACCAACGAGGGACAGATATTTGTTTGTTTTCGACTGTAGATCTTAACTGAGAAGAAATATTTCTATCGCGCGTTCTCAGCAGCGCTGTTCGTTTTCGTTGATAAACTATAAAGTTTATCGCTTTCGAATACTGCTCGGTCTGCTTTATCGTCGCCTACGATAGGTCGAGATAATCGATAATGTCACTTTCAATGCAGAGATACTTGTGTGTGTGGTTCGGCTTACCGTTCTTGAAAGAAATCACTGTCCAAGGATTCTCGCGGCGGATATCACAGGGAACATTATCTGGCCAAGCTAGTCTAACTTATTCTAACTACTTGAACGCGATATCAGGATTACCGTGTTATCAGAAAGTAACACCGTTTCATAACGAATGTATGTATTAAATCACGTGTGCTTTGAACGACGTATTTCGAGAGGCTATAAATTATAGGTCAATTACGAGGTGGTGGCATTGATTGCATATCTTGCAAATTTATCGGATTTAATATGTAATCACGTGTTATATAGACGGGTTCCAGACAAAAACGGATAGAAACTTATATTCTAGGCGGCGCGTTATTTCATCGGGAATGTTTATTAAAGTGTAATTTAGAAGTAGCAGCGGAAGTGCCGACTGATAGCTACACTGTCACGAGAACTATCATTTTTCCAATAGCGCTTTTCGCGTTATTAATTGATCTATATCGTTCTGCTACACCGACTCGCTCGTAAATAGAAGAACGATTTAAGAGATACTTTCCGATAATAAATAATAGCTTCATAATTGACCGCACAAGTATGCGAGATATCGTGTTTCAACATTTGCTGTGGTATTAAGTTTTTTGTTTCTTTTTTTAAAGTATTATTCATAGCGTGTTGTATGAATTTAAATGGTTCTGCTTCTTATTAATTCTCATGTGCGCGTAGATTAATATGAATATTACACTCAAAAAAATATCTTGCTGATATCGGTAGATTTCTAGGTGTCACAACAAAAATTTATCGCTATTTTTTGTATCTGTTAGAATATTGTCTGTTACATATAGAATTTATAGCAGCAATATTCTAATAATATCTTCTAGAAAATTTAGGTCCCATTGCCAAATGTTAATCACTGCATTGGATAAATATGAGTTTCGATACTACAGCTAGAACACTCTTTGTGAGAAATATAACTGCCAATTATAACTGCAGCATCGAAAAATTGAGAGAAATTGTTTAAAAGAGCTAGATAGATTGGGCGCGTTATACAAATATGTTAGATGTGAGGATTATATATTCATTTGTTTCTTGTCGCTAATTTTTTCTGTGTACCACAGCCAAACTTTATGACAAGTATGATTGGCCTTAACATGGATAGGCGTCACAGAAAAACATTCTTTCTAAATTTCACAAACAGTTCAGATATAAATTCTGTCTCTGTCACTTAGATTGATTAAATGCGAAACATATGCGATATCACAGTATTTGCTAATCATTTATGTACCTCAGTTAATTTTGCGCACCCAGAAAATTTTTCCTGTAGTTGCAAAACCACTTTTTTGAGTGTATAAGCGTGTGAACAAATGGAGGCTCATTGTTTCGTATTGTAGCATATAATATATTCATGGAACATCAAAAACTAAATAGTTAATAAATCGTTATTTATTATTTTTTATTGGATTAGAAAATACACATAACACTTTATAAAAATAGGAATATATTCTTAATAACATTATATTAAACACAAAGACAATATATGGAATTAATGGATTTGAGACATTATGAACAATTACAAAGAATAAATTACAATCACAATTGCTTTGATATAGAAATCTATATTATATTAAATTTTAATATATTAAATTTTTTGATTTTGATACTTACAAATATCATTATAAATATACTTATAATAATGATCCAGATTTTTTTCGATCAGCATTTTTTCTAACTCGTCATTGGATGTTTCTTAAGTACTCTTGACCTTCTAAGTAATAAGAGAATCTTCACATAATTGCACAATTACATCTGTTTCACAATTACAAATTCGACTTTATGTAATCTGAAAAGCGAAACATTTTTGTAAGGACGACCTTTCCATATTTCGCAGTTAAACTACCAAAATTACAGACATTTACACAACACGCAGGGTCCGGGTCATAATTAATACACGAATTGATTAACCTTCGTCCGACGCTCGAGCGAGACTCGCAGTCGTAAAAGTAAAAGCGAAGCCGATGTATACTAATATCACCGGCCGTACCAAAGCGCTATTCGAATCGCAAAGTTTAACTGACACAAATACCGCGTTCGCTAAAAACCACCGTATCCCAGATATTGCGCGAAACGAACGATCGGATAGGTTGATTTCGAAATCGGAAGTCAATCCCTCGGCCTTGCCTGCTGCACCGGTTGTGAATTTCTTTAGCCTACGTTTACCGCAAATCTGCGGTCCTGAGACTTTCCCTAAGAGCGTTAAGGAATGGCGCGTTCCCGGCTAAGGTCCCGTTCACACCATATTTCTCAATCGAGAATGTACTACGCTGCACTGTAATGTGATGGAAAATGAATGGAGTTATGCTTCATTTTGCATACAACATTTCCTAGTCACTCGTAGTTATTTTATGTAACTTTATATCGTGTCTCTGCCGTTTATGAATAGACGCATGGCACGTTTTATATCGTATTAACTGTCAAATACTTTATCAGTAAATAATCACGTCTTTGATGAAATATGAATTCGAGTTAAGAACGCTTTTACAATTTTCATTCTACTTTGATTTAATTTTCAATGAGTTTAAATATTTTTTCGGTAAAATTGATTTACAGAGATAAATATTTTTTTTTATGAAACTTATGTTTGATTTAAAACACGTGCATAAGCTTAATTTAGAAAATGTCTAAATGTCAAAATTATTAAATAATATATATATATATATACAGGGTGTCCGACAAGTAAGTAGCCAAACGAAAGGTGGAAGTAGATTGGATCTAACTGAGTCGAAAAGTCCTGAACC